TTTAAAAAAACTTACGATTGCCTGAACAGCAAAACTTGCGAGAAGAACAGAAGCCTCAGGTGAGCAATAGAGATCCATGGATAATATAGCTTGTTTTATTTGTAAAAAGAAAAGGTGCCTTGTGAGATCCTGAAACACAGGGACATCCTTTGAATAGCGTTGTCGTATGGTGTACAAAGGACCATCATTCAAAAAAAAATGTGGAATAAATGAACATGAAGTATACTAATGAAACCATAATAGCCTTTCTGAATAGCCCAAGGTCGTGTATGTGAAGCATATTGACACCAGTTGTAAATCATCTAGATTTATTTGTTAGCTAGTCTCCCTATGAACCCATCCACCAAGTTTTCGTTCACATGAATTTGGCGCCTTACGCAAGGCTCTAAGGCAAATGAAAACTCATCAAAGCACCCCTAAGCTGAGACGAAAGAATCTCGAGTAATTTCAAGTCTCCAAAGAAATAGAGTAGTAACATAATACGTTCAGCATTCAAGAAACACAAGAAAAAGGATATTCAAGATGATATAATCCAGCATGTTCAAGGTGATATCAAATCCAGAACACCCCACTTTGTTCCTAATAACGGACATGGAAACCATCAAGTAATACTGGCAGCAAATGCAAAACCGATCAGCTCACTTGGATAAGCTCTTCCTCAACATCCTTCTGGGTAGAACTTCACCAAGAATAAGAACTGCATGCAGCCATCCCCCTCTCGTGGTACATCCTGTTTTCTTATCTGGAAAAGAGTAGCTGAGAAACACAACAAATTGAATAAAAGTTGAAGCTGTCACACTGACAACATTTACCTCCCTATCCATTTGTAACCAACACGGCAAACCCTTCTTATTGGTGAATTGCAGGCCAAAAAACCACACTTCACGGAGGCCTATAATGCGACAGACTGCATCGAATAAGTGACGACCAGTCCAACTCGCCTGAATTAGTCAGCAGCTAGTTAATGTCATCGGCTTTTTAAGCTATCTCTAAAAATGTTCCTCCCAAAAGTGCTAAAGGAAACAAAAATGCCTTCCTGTGGTCATATGCTGTGGAATGCTTATGGTGCTTGTAATAGTTGAAGAAGTACTGGGATTGTGATATAAAAGTAAGAACAAAGGCGGTGCAAAAAATGTAAAAGCGTCATTGGCCTTCCAATAGGGCGCATTCATAGTCGGTCGTCCGATCGTAACGATCATAACGATCGCACAGTATTGGATATTGGATGGGCACTAATAGTGCCGCATCCAATGCTGTGCGATTATTACTGACTGAGTGACTAGTACAACCCCAGTAGGGGTGAATGGGTCAAAAAAAGTTTTCGCTGAAACTTCTCTATGGGGGTTATCGAGGGTCCTGATCACGAATATGATATCCATTTTTGGCGCTGGCGCCAGATGGCGCCACGCTGATTCTCACCAAATTCGCTGTAAACTTGTATATAGGGGTTATTTGGAGCCCTGATTACGAATATGACATTTGTTTTTGTCACTCACGCTGTAAGGCTGCCTCTGGGTTCTCTCACCTCCCTTTCTGCCTTTCTGGGTTCTCTCACCTAGCTCGCGAGACTAAGCCTAGGGAAAGGGAGTGATTGCGGTGTAGTGGGTAAACCAAGCACCGTGTGGCAAAAGTTGAGTGTGTGAGATCACAGGGGAGTGGCTTACTCACTTTGGAGCCCTCCACTCTCAAAGGCTTAGTCCTGATTGCGATCTAATTAGTGCGAGGGCGCAGACGAGCAGGAAATAGGCGCCGAATAGCGCCAACAACAAAAACGAATGTCATATTCGTAATCAGGACCCCAAATAACCCCTATATATAAGTTTACAGCTATGCGATCGTTACGATTGGACGACCGACTATGAATGCGCTCATGCACCAACTGAAGTCCTCGTGGAGAAAATTCTCTGACTCCATCAATTCATAACATAAAAATAGGCATATAATAGGGTGAGGATAGCAATGTTACCTCAACTACAATCCGATCGAGGTCTGCATCCATTGTGGTCACCTTCGCGTGGATAACTTTCCCCGCCCCTCGATTAAAAAACGGGAAAAGTCCCATTTTCTATTATGCGCTCGATCGTTTACATAGATGATATCATCACTCTGAAAAACGAAAAATCTAACTAGAGCAAAGAACACTGAGATAAATTCAACAAAAACGTTTAGGAATGTGAGTGAGAGTGAAAAGAAACAAAAGCGAATGGAGATGAGATCGGTTAGAAGGACTGCCGAGATGAATCGGCTGCCATCAACCGTGGGATATTAACAAAACATCGTGAAGTACTGGTATCATGACATTAAACAAGTGCTTTGGGATTATTGTAGTGCAACCAAAATAAGCCTGTGCTCAAAGTATTATAATATTACCAGTTTTGCTTCGCCCGCTATCGCG